GCAGGTTAATAAGTTTACACAGAAACTTTTTTTTTTTTTGAGACAGAGTTTCATTCTTGTTGCCCAGGCTGGAGTGCAATGCTGTGATCTCAGCTCACTGCAACCTCTGCCTCCTGTGTTCAAGGATTCTCCTGCCTCAGCCTCCCAATTAGCTGGGATTACAGGCATGTGCCACTATGCCCAGCTAATTTTATATTTTTAGTAGAGATGGGATTTCTCTATGTTGGTCAGGCTGGTCTTGAACTCCTGACCTCAGGTGATTAAACTGCATTGGCCTCCCAAAGTGCTGGCATTACAGATGTGAGCCACCGTGCCCGGCCACAAAAACTTTTAAAGTTATACATTACAATGATAATAAACATGAATCATTAAGAAATAGTTATCATTGTTTACTGTATTTTAAGTATGGGGAAATGAGTACATTTTTTAACAATCTCTATGTTAAATGGTTAAAGTTTATTACTTATTTATATTTATTTTTATTAATTTTTTTGAGACAGAGTCTGGCTCTGTTGCCCAGGCTGCAGTACAGTGGCACAGTCTTGGCTGACTGCAACCTTCATCTCCTTGGCTCAAGCCATCCTCCCACCTAAGCCTCCTGAGTAGCTGGGACTACAAGTGTGCACCATCACACCTGGCTAATTTTTGTATTTTCTGTAGAGATAGGGTCTCACTGTGTTGCCAAGGCTTGTCTCAAACTCCTGAGCTCAAGTAATCTCCTGCCTTGGCCTCCTGAAGTACTGGGATTATAGGTGTGAGCCACAACATCTGGGTTGAAATGGTTAAAAGCTTTCTTTCTTTCTTTCTTTTTTTTTTTTTTTTTTTTTTTTGAGACAGAGTCTTGCTCTGTTGCCAGGCACCAGGTTGGAGTGCAGTGGCGCGATCTTGGCTTACTGCAACCTCCACCTCCCAGGTTCAAGCAATTCTCCTGCCTCAGCCTCCCAAGTAGCTGGGACTATAGGCGCGGGCCACCACGCCCAGCTAATTTTTGTATTTTTTAGTAGAGATGGGGTTTCACCGTGTTGGCTGGATGGACTCAATCTCCTGACCTCGTGATTCGCCCGCCTCAGCCTCCCAAAGTGCTGGGATTACAGGCGTGAGCCACTGTGCCCGGCCAAAAGCTTTTTTTAAAAAAACACCTGGGGATATTTAAAAGAGACAGATTGCAACGATCTATAAATTTATTTTTGTAGAACACTGTAAGCTGGAAAATAAATTGAGAAGAATAAAATAAACTTTTGAGCCATGGTAAATGCAAGACACTTTACACATTGTCATAGTCTGTGTTGTGATAATAAAATAGCTGACACTGGGTAATTTATAAAGAACAGTGATTTGTTTCTTACAGTTTTGATGGCTGGGATCTGCAAGGTTAAGGGAACTGTATCTAGTGAGGGCCTTCTTGATGCATCATAACATGCCAAAAGGCAGAAGAACAAGAGAGCACACATACAAGAGAGAGAGGAGATGGGGGGGCAAACTCATCCTTTTATCCGGAATTTACTTCTGGAACAAGTTACCCACTTCTGTGATAATGGCATTAATCCATTCATCAGGGCAGAGCCCTCTTGATCTCATCACCCTTTAAAGGTCCTATCTCTTAACAAGGTTGCATTGAGATTTAGTTTCCAACACATGAACTTTGGGAACACATTCAAACCATAGCATTCTGCTCTTGGCACCCTTAAATTCATGTCCTTCTTACATGCAAAATACATTCATTTCATCCCATTAGGCCTAAAGTCTTAACTTGTTTCAACACTAACTCAAAGGTCCAGAATCTTATCTGAATCAGATGTGTATGAAACTCAAGGCATGATTCATCCTGAGGCAAATTCCCCAGCAGCTATGAGCCTATGAAATTAAATAAGTTATCTACTTCCAGAATGTTGGGGCAGGCATAGGATAAATATTCCCATTATAAAAGGGAGAAATAGGCAATAAGAAAGGAGTAACAGGCCCAAAGAAATCACTTCAAACCTGACAGGGAAAACAACAGTAAGTCTTAAAGCTGAAGAATAATCTTTGACTCCATATCCCACATCAGGGGCACAGTAGGGTAGGAGTTGGGCTCTCAAGGCCTCAGGCAGCTTCAGGGCTTAGCCCACCCAGCAGCTCTCATGGTTTGTAGTCTCATGCCTATGACTTTCTCAGACTGGAGTTACATGCTGATGCCCCCCATAGTTTTATGGTCTCAGAGTGGGGAGCTGGGGGGTGATTGCCCCACTCCCATGACTTTACTAGGCATTGCCCTAGTGGGGACTCCGTGAATGCTGGCCTTACTCCTATGGCTCCACTAGGCATAGTGGGGGCTTTCTGTGGTAGGCTTTCCTTGGTAGGTCTGCCTCTAGGATAAGTCTCTGCCTGGGTCCCAGGCTGTCCTCAACATCCTTTGAAACTTAGGCAGAAGTCACCATGGCTTCATACCTTTTGCATTCTGTGTGCCTGCAGAATTAGCACCACGTGGACACTGCCAAGATTTATTGCTTATACCTTCTGGAGCAGTGGGTTGAACTGCAGCTAGGCCCACTTGAGCCACAGCTCTGGTGGCTGAGAGGCATTATGCCAAAATTGAGGGAGCAGAGGTCCAAGGTGCTGCAGGGCAGCAAATGCTGAGGTCACACAAGCACCTCTCTGGAAACCTTGCCCTTAAGGTCAAATCCTAGCTTGCTTAGATCTCTGAAATGTTTCTGGGGTCATTCTCTCATTGTTTTCATAGATAGAACCTGGCTTCTTTCTATACTAGTTTTTTTTAGCAATCACTTGACAACTCCTTTACTATTCTTTCCCGAACACACATTTTATGTGGCCAGGCTGAGTTTTCTTGATTTTTTTTTTTTATTCTGCTTCTTTTAGAATTATAAATGTCATCTTTAAAGTATTTCTCTCTTCTTTCATTTTACTGTAAATGGCTGAAAGAAGCTTTGTAACATCTTGAATGCTTTGCTGCTTAGATAGTTCTTCTACCAGATATCCTAGTTCATTCCTCTTAAGTTCTGCCTTCCACAATATCCTAGGCCATGGATGCAGTCCTCCCAAGTTCTTTGCAACTGTGTAACAAGGATGGCCATTACTCCAGTTTCCAAGATTTTGTTTCTCAGTTTACCCTGAGTCCTCATCAGAATGGCCTTTATTGTCCACATTTCTACCAATGTTCTGATCATGACCACTTAAGTAATCGTTACAACATTCCAGACTTTCCCTACATTGCTTTCCGTTTTCTGAGCCTTCACTAGAATTCTCCTTAATGTTCTCTTCATGGCATTCTGGGCTTTTTCTAACCTGCTCCTCCAAATTCTTCCAACTTTTACGCATTCTCATTGTTCAATTCCTAAGCGGCTTATACATTTTCAGATATTTGTTATAGCAACAACCCCAGTCTTGGTACCAATTTTCTATCTTAGTTTGTTTTGTGCTGCTATAACAGAATATCTGAGACTGAATAATTTATGAACAACAGAGACTTATTTCTTACAGTTCTAGAGGCTAGAAGATAAAAGTTGAGTGACTCACATCTGGTAAGGGCCTTCTTGCTGTGTCTTACTTAACATGGTGGAAGGGCAAGATACCATGCATGCATATGAGACAAAAAGGGAGCTGAACTCATCCTTCTGTCAAGAACCCACTCCCATGATGATAGCATTAATTCACTCACAGAGGCAGAGCCCGCATTACCTAACCTTCTCTTAAAGGTCCCACCTCTGAAGACTGTTGCATTGGAGATCAAGTTTCCAACACATGAACTTTGGGGGGCATTTTCAAACCATAGCACATATATAATCTCACTTAATTCTCACAACACACTTGGGAAGTCAATGTTATCAGCATTTAAAAGATGAGAACAGCACTGGGTGTGGTGGCTCACACCTGTAATCCCAGCACTTTGGGAGGCCAAGGTGGGCGAACCATGAAGTCAGGAGTTCAAAACCAGCCTGACTAACATGGTGAAACCCTGTCTCTACTAAAAATACAAAAATTATCCGGGCGTGGTAGTGTGTGCCTGTAATCCCAGCTACTCAGGAGACGGAGGCAGAAGAATCACTTGAACCGAGGAGGTGGAAGTTGCAGTGAACTGAGATTGCGCAACTGAACTCCAGCCTGGGCTTCAGAGAAAGACTCCATCTCAAAAACAAGAAATAAATAAAAATTTTAAAAAGATGAGAACAGCTAGAGTTTAGAGAAGTTAGGTAACTCTTGGGAAGGTTATGTGATTAGTGGTTGAACTATATTTCATGTGTCATGATATTGAATAGACAATATCCAAAACCAGAGAAGTAGAGTTTCAAGAAGGAAGGTAAGTCTTAGTTTATTTAGTGTTGCTATAATGGAATACCCGAGGCTGGGTAATTTATAAAGAAACAAGTTTATTTGGGTCACAATTCCAGTGACTGGAAAGTCCAAGAGCATGGCATTGGCATCTACTCGGCTTCTGGTCAGGGCTTTCGTGATGCATCATAAGATGGAGGATGGTCAAAGAGGAAACAGACATATGCAATGAGCAAAATGAGGGTCAGTCTTACTTTATAACAACCTGTTCTTGTGTGGAAACTAGTCCCTTTCTGTGTGAACTAATCAAGTTTTATTAAGGGGTTACCTCACTCATCATGGTAGGAATGGCACCAAACTTCTCGTGAGAGTGGAGCCTCTGTGACCCAAATGTTTTCCACTAGATCCCACCTATTAAATATTTTACTTTCCAGCATTACCACACAAAGAATTAAGGTTCCAATATGAGTGTTAGTAGGGAAAGGCAAACCATAGCAGAAGGGATGGTCAGCAGCATCAAATTTTGAGGTGAGATTGAGTAATCAAAATTAACAAAAGAACATTAGAATTTAGTTATACTCACTTTACATGTGAGATAGTTAAAGAAGACATATCAGGTAATATTTGCAGGTAGAACTGATCTATTTTATTCTTTGAGGATAATATTTTACATAGTCAATATTTGCAGCTGTTCTATAAAGTTTAAATGTTCAATATTTGTTTGTTTGTTTCAGTTATATCAAGATTCCTTGATACAGAGCAGCTTCTTTCTGTTTTAGTCCAAATTCCAAAGCAAGACACGGTATGTTTTTGTATACATTATATATATTATTATACATTATGTGATGGAACTTGTCTTAATGTAATGTAACAATTGGAAAACATCAAAATGTTTTGAGATAGTCCTTCATTATTGATATCTGGAGTATTTTATGCCATTGTAGAGGAAAACTTTTTTCCTAATGTATTATCCTGTATGTTATAGTAAAATTTAAAATTTCAGCCTGGCATGATGGCTCATGCCTATAATCCCAACACTCTGGGAGGCTAATGCAGGAGGATCACTTGAGCCCAGCAGTTCAAGACAAGCCTGGGCAACAAGTGAGGCCCCATCTCTATTTAAAAAAAAAAAAAAATCAAAAAATTAGATGGGCATGGTGTTGCACACTTGTAGTCCCAGATACTGGGGAGGCTGAGGTGGGAGGATAACATGAGCCTTGGAAGGTCAATGCTGCAGTGAGCTGTGTTTGCACCACTGTACTCCAACCTGGGTGATATAGTGAGACCCTGTCTCAAAAAAAAAAATTTTTTTTTCTAGATAGTTAAGGAGTTGGCCTATTTTCATTGATCAAATATTAAGGAGTTATATATAATTTTCAAAAGATGTAGACTGTAATAACGTTTGCCTAGTAACTAACTAAAATATGTTAGAGCTAAAGAATATAGATTCTTCTTAAAAGTGACCATTATGTGAAGTTTGATTAGTCTTCAAATATTATTATTATTATTATTACTGAGATGGAGTTTTGGTTTGTCATTGAGGCTGGAGTGCAGTGGTGTGATTTTGGCTCACTGCAATACCTGCCTCCCAGGTTCAAGCGATTCTCTTGCCTCAGCCTCCCACGTAGCTGGGATTACAGGTGTGCACCACTATGCCTGGCTAATTTTTGTATTTTTAGTAGAGATAGGGTTTCACCATGTTGGCCAGGCTGGTCTCAAACTCCTAACCTCAAGTGATCCACCTACTTCAGCCTCCCAAAGTACTGGGATTACGGATGTGAGCCACCACACTTGGCCAAGTCTTCAAATATTCTTGATTTTTAAGAATGAAATAATATCTTTTCTGGATACTTTTCAAATTTAAATAGTGCTTATGGGTACATTCTATAAAGAAAGTAATAGCTTTCATTATTCTGTTTAAGGTGAGCTGAAGAATATTTACTATAATGCAATGCAGGTATATTTTTGCCCATATGCTTAAAAAGAAAAGAAGTCTTGAACATCAATGAAATTTAATTTACAATTTGATGACATTTGTAAGTCCATTGAAAGCTTATCTATATTTGAGAAGCCTTTTCGTATCATAAAGAAAATACTCTTCAGGTTCATTTATAATAAAAGCATCACTAGATTGAAAAGCTTTGGCTATTGGGCAGGCACAGAACTAGGTTTCCTTAAATAATTTAAGCTGCTTATAATTCAGTATATACAAATGGGAAGTAACCTAAAGCAACTGATGTTTGGAATTAAATTAGTAGCCCTCATAAAATAAGTTTGGAAGTATCCCTTTCTCTTTAATTTTCTGGTAGAGTTTAAATAGACTGGTATTATTTCTTCCTTACATATTCGGTAGAATTCACAAATGAAGCCATTAGATTCTGGAATATTTTTTGGTAGGAAGGTTTTTAACTATGAATTTAACTTATTAAATAGGTATAGTGCTCTTCAGGTTAACTGTTTCTTCTTGAAAAAGCTTTGGTAGCTTGTGTCTTTTAAAGAATTTTTCATTTCACCCAACTTTTCAATTTATCAGCATAAATTATCTCATAATATCCTTCTTGTATCTGTAAAATTGGTAGTGATATGCTCTCTTATTCCTGATATTAATAACTTTAATATGTTCTCTGTTTTTCTTAATCAGCCTGGCTAGAGGTTATCGTTTTCATTGGTATTCTCAAGGAAACAGCTTTCTATTTCATTGTTTTATCTTTTTTTCTCCTGTTCTCTATTTCACTGATTTCTGGTTTTATCACTCTTCTGCTTAGCTGTGCCTACTCTTCTTTTTTGACATTGTAAAGGAGGAAGCTGAGGTCATTGATTTGAGACCTTTTTTCCTTTCTAATATAAGCATTTCAGCACTGTAAATTTCTCTCTGAGTAATACTTTAGCTGTATTCCACAATTTTAGGTACATTGTGATTTCTTTTTCATTTGAAAAGGTCAAAATACTTTCTAATTTCTTTTTGAAAATTCTTTGATATTTGGATTTTTAGGGGTATGTTAATTTATTTCCAATATTTGGGGACCTTCCAGATTATCTTTTTGTTATTGGTTTCTAACTTAATTCCCCAATGGTCAGAGAACATGTATTATGTAATTTAGATCCTTTTAACTTTATTGACTTTGTTTTTATGGCCCAAAATAGAGTTAATCTTGGCAAATGTTCCATGTGAACTTGAAAGCAATGTGTATTTTACTGTTGTTGGTTGGAGCGTTCCATAAATGTCAATTTGTTCAAGTTGTGTGGTAGTGTTCTTCAAATCTCATCTATCCTTATTGTGTTTTACTGTTTTTGTTGTTGTTCTATTTGTTCTACCAGTCATTGAGAGAGTAGTGTCAAAATCTCCAAATGTAATTATGGATTTGTTTCTTTTTCCTTGCAGTTTTATCAGCTTTTATCTAATGTATTTGGGATCTCTGTTATTAGGTACATAAACATTTAAGATTGCCATGTCCTCTATAAATTGACCCTGTTATCATTATGAAATGACCCTTTTTATTCCTAGTAATATTTTTTGCTATGCAATCTACTGGGTCTAATATTAATATAGCTGCTCCAGCTTTCTTTTGGTTAGTTTTAGCGTGGCGTATCTTTACCATCCATTTGTTTTTAACTTTTTTTTCTTTATACTTACAGAAGATTTTTTGTAGGTGATATATATTAGGTGTTAACTTTTTGTATACGATTAGAGAATACCTTACTTTTAATTGTGGTATTTATTGCATTTACACTTAATAAGATTATTCATATGTTTTCATTTAAATCTGCTATCTTGGTTTTTTTTTCATTTTTCTCATCTGTTTTCTCCCTTTCTTTCTTTTCTTCTGCTTTCTTTTGTATGTTTTTTTATGATTCCATCTCATTTCCTTTGTTGGCTTATTAGATAGAAGTCATTGCCTTTATTAGCTTAATTATTGACTTAGGGTTTATAGAATACATCTTTAGCTGAATTCAGTTCGCTTTTATTTATTTTTTATTTTATTATTTTTTTTGAGAGAGTCTTGCTCTGTTGCCCAGGCTGGAGTGCAGTGATGCCATCTCAGCTCACTTTCACCTTTGTCTCCTGGCTTCAAGTGATTCTTGTACCTCAGCCTCCTGAATAGCTTGGACAACAGACATGCCACCATGCCCTGCTAACTTCTGTATTTTTAGTGGAGTCAGGGTTTTGCCACATTGACCAGGCTGATCTCAAACTCCTGACCTCAAGTGATCCACCTGGCTTGGCCTCCCAAAGTATTCGGATTATAGGTGTGAACCATTTTTGATCAGAGACTAGGATTGCAACCCCTGCCTTTTTTTTTCCATTTGATTAGTAAATCTCCCTCCATCCCTTTATTTTGAGTCTGTGTATGTCTTTGCATGTAAGATGGGTCTCCTGAATACAGCACACCGATGGGTCTTGATTTCTTCTAATTTGCCAATCTGTGTCTTTTAATTGGGGTATTTAGCCCATTTACATTTAAGGTTAATATTGTTACGTGTGAATTTGATCCTGCCATTTTGATAGTAGCTGGTTGTTTTGCCCGTTAGTTGATGCAGTGCCTTCATAGTGTCGATGGTCTTTACAATTTTATATGTTTTTGTAGTGGCTGGTACTGGTTTTTCCTTTCCATGTTTAGTGCTTCCTTCAGAAGCTCTTGTAAGGCAGGCCTGGTAGTGACAAAATCTGTCAGCAGTTGCTTGTCTATAAAGGAGTTTATTTCTCCTTCACTTATGAAGCTTAGTTTGTCTGGATATGAAATTCTGGGTTGAAAATTCTTTTCTTTAAAAATGTTGAATATTGGCCCCCACTTTCTTCTGGCTTGTAAGGTTTCTGCCAAGAGATCCACTGTGAGTCTGTTGGGCTTCCTTTTGTGACTAACCCAATCTCTCTGGCTGCCTTAGCATTTTTTCCTTCATTTCAACCCTAGTGAATCTGATGATTATGTGTCTTGGGGTTGCTCTCCTTGAGGAGTATCTTTGTGGTGTTCTCTGTATTTCTGGAATTTGAATGTTGGTTTGCCTTGCTAGGTTGGGGAAGTTCTCCTAGATAATATCCCAAAGAGTGTTTTCCAACTTGGTTTCATTCTCCCCGTCGCTTTCAGGTACACTGATATCAAATGTAGATTTGGTCTTTCCCATAATCCCATATTTCTTGGAGGCTTTGTTCATTTATTTTCACTCTTTTTTCTCTAATCTGGTCTTCTCACTTTATTTCATTGAGTTGATCTTCAATCTCTGATATCCTTTCTTCCGCTTGCTCGATTCGGCTATTGAAACTTATGTATGCTTCCCAAAGTTCTTGTGCTATGTTTTTCAGCTTCATCAGGTTGTTTCTGTTCTTCTCTACCCTGGTTATTCTAGTTAACATTTCATCTAACCTTTTTTCAATGTTCCTAGCTTTTGTGCATTGGGACAAAAATGCTTTCTTCTGAAGCCTACTTCTGTCAATTTGTCAAACTAATTCTTCATCCAGTTTTGTTCCCTTGCTGGTGAGGAGTTGTGATCCTTTAGAGGAGAAGAGGCATTCTCGTTTTTGGAATTTTTGGCCTTTTTGCACTGGTTTCTTCCCATCTTCATGGATTTATCTACCTTTGGTATTTGAAGTTGGCGACCTTTGGATGGGGTCTCTGAGTGGATGTCCTTTCTGTTGATGTTGAAACTATTTCTTTCTGTTTGTTAGTTTTCCTTCTAACAGTCAGGCCCCTCTGCTGCAGGTTTGCTGAAGTTTGCTGGAGGTTCACTACAGACCCTGCTTGCCTGGGAATCACCAGCAAAACAGCAAATATTGCTGCCTGCTCCTTCCTCTGGTAGCTTCATCCC